GAGTTAATGTCAACAGATTTTTGGAGGGCATTACCAACAGAGCTCATTAACATAAACAGCTCTTCTGAATGGAAGTCAGAGCAGACAGAACTAGAAAATGGGAAATTTTATTATCTGACAATTATTTTGTGCATTAAATTGAATGAACATGGTCTGGATAGCCCACAGACATACCATAAACATTTCTAGGACCCATAATTGGTCTCCTTTAAAAAAGTTAATAAAATACAGAAACCTTCAGCTGTAGAGACAAGTGTGACGCTTGGAAACACGATCAAAGAGCGGTTTGCCTACAGCTGGGTTTAAGGAGATTTCATTTCCTGTTCATACAATCAATCAGYTTCAGATAACAGAGCAATAGATTTGATTGTTTCTCCTCAGGAAGTTAAAACCCAGGTGCAGCTCAATAGGAACTCTTTGATTTGATAATTGAAATTAATTCACTGAGGACACATTGATTGCTCATTCCTTCCAGATCAACTATTTTTGGAAGCAGATCGTTTCCTTTAGGTCTCTCAGCTCTGTGGCTGGAAGCCCTGCTTGGTACGGAAAAACAAACCACAGGCATTTCCTGTAATAAACTCATTTTACTACAATTAATTAACTGAGTGAATAATTGGCCTCGCAACGCGATTTCTATAACATCTGTTCAAAGATGAAATACTTACTGTTAGGAGAGAAACATTGACTGTAATTAAACTAGATTACAGTAATGAGTTGACAAAAACTGTTTTTGTTTATATAAAGTACGGTGAAAAAGTGTTTTAAAGTGCCTGTGATGTAAAATTTTTGTAATAAACATGAATACATTTTTGGAAAGATAACATTAATAACATATTGCAAAACAAGTTTCACGTCGCTCAGATGAACGGTTGTTGAGATATTTACATGTGAAGAAACAGGAAGTGATGTCAAAGGGGAATGTCAGCATGTAAACAGAGCGTCGTTACAACCGCTAACAACACAGACTGTTGAGAAGAATTTGATGTTTCTTTTTATGGGGTCCCGTTTGTAAAGTTACACAGTCAAAAATTACCACCAATATTTTTGTTTTATTTAGCCTTTTACAAGGAAAAAAAAAGAACAGATTTATTTTTCAAAGTCAGTTTTTCACCATATGATTCATACATTTATAAATGTC